CCTTTTCCCATAAAAACTTCATGTACCTAGATCAAATTTTACCCAGAGTGGACCTTCTCCCAGCATAAGGGGTGGTGCTTTCAACCCCCCGAACCCCACCTGGCTACAGGCCTGATCTTTGCTAAATTGAAAAGCATGCATATAGAATAATATACGATACAAACATACAGTATTACTGATGGAAATGGATTTATTAATATATTGTAATTTTATATCTCACAGGAAATGCAAAATTAATATCTCATTGCAGGAAATCATTTTAAACATCGACTTGGCACCAACATTTATAGCTCTGTCTGCCCAGACTGCCCCATCACAAATGGACGGCATGTCTTTCCACAACCTTCTAGCGCAGAATGCCACAATTCCAGCCTCCAGTTGGCGAGAGAGTTTTGTGATTGAACACCAGGGGGCGTACAACGAGATTATTCCAAAATGCCCTCAATTTGATCACATGGACCTGTCTGTAAGTCTTCATTTGTGGTTGTTTAATTGATTCTGCATCACTGTGTATGCTTTTTTTCATTTTTAGCATTTGGCAGACATAAAAAGTTGATTACTAACTGGTTTCACATTTGGATTGCTAAGTATAATACATTGAATTAAAAAACAAGGACTGTAATTTTGAACAAGACTGTGGAGCTGTAATTTCACAAACATTGTAAAATTAAGACGTACATTACTGATAAGCTATGTTAACAATTATAATTTTGATAAGAATATTCCTGCTGGTTTTCAAGTTGGTAGCTTAAGTTATATTCAGTCAAAATGTTTGATTTTTGTAACAAAAAATTATAGAACTTGAAATGATGGTATGTTTGAAAATCACATTTGAATCTGTAAAATCTTTTGAGTTGATGTGACAGGAATGGTAATTAGTAGTTGCCTGCAGTGAGCTGTAATCTGTTCCCCATATTTTTTGTACAGGTAACATATACATGTATTTGTCTCATATATTGGCCCAATTAATATGTCCCCTATACTCACTGACTCCATAACTTCCAGCTAACCCTAACCTGTACTTATCATATGGGACCCTGGATTTATAGCACTTTGAACTTGAACAGGCTTTGTGCATATGCTTGCTTTAGAAGTTTACAAAGCTATAAATGGGCTTAATTGCACCTTCCTACATCTTTGACCTTTTCCAGGAAAGAATAACAAATTACAACCTTAGAGTGGAAAAGAAAAGTAGAAATATCCCCAGATTTAATCAGTAACATATGGCAAAAAATCCTTTTCATATCTTGGGCCAAAAATATGAAATGATCTTTTAGAAGTATTAATTAAAGCACAGCATCATTGTTCAGATGAGTTTAAATCACTAATATAGCCTGTGTAACCTTTATGCATATAGTGAAACTGTGTAATACAGGGGGTAATACATGTTTACGTTGTTTTATGCATCTATATAAGTGAGCATTGTGTGTAGAAATGTTTGTTTTTCACAATTAATTAGATCTAGCATTTTCTATATTTTTCATAGAAAGATTTTTCATATACTATCTTAGTAGATTTATGCGTACGTATTTGTATATTTTAAGTAGAAAGATTTTCCATTTTCTATCTTACTAGACTTCATGTCTAAATATTGCATTATTTATAGAATTTATACCCGGCATGAAATAAAATTAATTGTGTTGTATTCCTGTGACTACCATAGTCCTGTCACAATGGGTCTCTGATTTGCTCTATGTGGTTATTGTAGCACTGCAACAAAATTTGTGTGTGTGAGGATGCCAAGAACAACACGTACAGCTGCGTAAGGACGCTCTCAGCAGACACCAACTACTTGTACTGTGTGTTTGAGGACACTGAGGTGAGCTGGGAGTCCAAGGTTGTGTAAATATTCTTGTTTAGAGTTGACTTTCTTTTTTTAATTTTCTCCTGAATTTTGTTTTCATAAGTTGGCTTTTCTTTTTTTGTTTATTAATCAATATATTTATTTTATTATTTATTCTTTCTTTCATAATTTAATCAATATATGTAATTCATTTTATGTTATCATAGATAAGACAGTAATTCTGATAGAGCAAACGGCACATGGTTGTTGAAGACATTTTGCTTTAATTTTTCTTCCAGATTAAATTTTAGGGTTTATGCATTGCAGTGTTTTTTTTTTTTTCTGCAATAGGAAACTTCTTGTTTTGATGATGTGTGTTTAAGTGCGTATGTGTGTGAACAAGAATATAGGAGGCTTTTGTAGAGCCAATAAAAAAGACTTAAGCACTAAAAACAATATTTTCCAAGAATTATTAATGCATGCATTATTATAATGAGCAAATACCTCTTTTCAGAATTTTGAGGAATTTTATGACCTGAATAAAGACCCCGACCAGCTCTCCAATGCCATCCAAACAGTGGGTAAATCAGTACTTATGGACCAGAGAAAGAAGTTAATGGAGCTGTCTGTCTGTCAGGGACCCTCTTGTCACAAGATATGACCATGCCATGTACTTTTAATTCAGGTCATGGTGCCTGGCTTGGTTTTTAAATAGTTTCATTGTGTCTGCATTTTGAAATTTATAATATCAAAACATTTTTTTTGTAAACATATTATATGTTTACAAAAATAATGTTTTGAGTTTTGAAAAACTTTTTTTTTTTGAAAATTGAAAAACTTTTTTATGAAACTGTGGATATTTGGATATTTATAATTACAGTTATAAAGATACTGTTGAAAATATTTATTTCAAAAATTCTCTTTAATTTTATCAATTAGTCTAGAAAATAAAAGCTAAAAGCAAAAATTCATTTTATTCCTGGTATACTTTAAAAGGACAGATACATTTGTCAGTAAGTCTTTAATCAGCATTCCATTCTACTGAGTATGTGAAGTAGTGTTTTTTAGCAAGTTTACTTTTGCTATAACTACCACATTTATCAAAGGTTTTATTTGCATCATGGTAATAAAGATGAAATCTAATGCTTTCAAGGAAAAAAAGGCGTGTTTTTCACAAGAATAAAATCACCCCACAAGTTTTTTGACCAGGTTACATGGTATGCCTATACTCATCACTCTCCCTAGTTGAAATACAGCCTGATCTGGCTATAGTTANGAGAAGACTGGGAGACAAGTAAGACTGTTCGTTATAAGGATAACTACTATTTGTATGAGATTCATATCTCACAATAAACACACTGTAAACAACTCACAGAAACTGTATAATAAATTCCTATTTACCACCAAAATGGTGCTTAACTGATCATTGTGGAATCTGTGTTTGCCATCAGACCATGTGAATCTTTATAAATGGCTAACCTCCGTAATAATATCTTTTGAGATTATTACAAAAAAACATAACTCTTTAGAAAAAATGTTGAAATGAATGAGTGAATAAATAATTGAACGAATGAATGAAAGAATACAAAAATAGGCAAATGAATGAATAAGTAAAATAAGAAAGGAAGGAAGGAATTATATTAATTAAAAATGATAAAAAAAATAAATGAATTAATGTGTATCCCCTGTAGGTTGAAGTGCTGTTTGTAGACTATGGGAACACAGAGGTTGTCCAGGTGAACACACTGAGAGAGATGACCAGAGCTAGCAAACATCTCAAGACTCTGCCTTTCCAGGTATGAAACGTGAAATTACAGAAATTTTAATGGGCAAATATTATCAGACTTTCAGATACTTAATTTTATAATCACAAATATTATATCTGTAATCAGATGAAATGGCCATGATTGAAGAATAATTGTTTCTCTTTATGTCAGGCTATAGAGTGTCAGCTGCATGCCCTGCCACCACTAGGGGGCTCCTGGACCGCAAGTGCCATGTACAGGTTCCTAGAACTTGCTCCACCTGATAGACTGGTCACACTGAAGGTAAGACAGGTGTCTCTCCTGATAGACTGGTCACACTGAAGGTAAGACAGGTGTCTCTCCTGATAGACTGGTCACACTGAAGGTAAGACAGGTCACAGGTTTGTAGACAGGGGTGTAGTGAGGGGGAAAGGGGGTAAAAATATTGGCCAGAAACGATCCACTCTGAATCAACTTTATTTGGGTTTCATGCCATTTTTCAAGTTGGATCAACAAAAGGGTAAGTGCTGACAAATTGGTATAACACTTCTTGTAATGCCCGGCAGTAAGTTTTTTTGCTACAATCCCAAATACTTTGAGATTAATGTTTTGTCACACCATGAACATTTACTGTGACTTAAAATCAATTACACTTTATACTTAGTAGTTTCCTTTTAGCTGGTTGAATTTATTTGCTTTTTGTCATACCTTTTCAATTTTTTATTCTTGTTTCAGGTCATAGATTCAGCATCTCAGCCACCAGCTGTGGAAATCTTCATCCCCGGTGAAGTTAATGAGGAATTCCTACACTCTATAAACCAGCTTCTTCTCTCTGAGCCAGAAATATTCATGTAAGTGCTCAGACTATCCCAAGTAGAGTGACTGTTAGTTCTTAACTGGTGACTGTTGAATATATACTCATCACACGGTCAGATAGTCAGTTGAGTGACTCCAGGTATTCTCGACTTTATAACCATTGTAACACAATTTCTGTCATTTTGGCAGACAAGAGTTTTTACTATTTTGATGAATAAAAAATTTATAGTTACATAGTAGCTGACACTGCCAATGAATTTTTTTATTGGATTGTCAGATTTTGAGGATAATCGACTCCTTTTTCAGGCCTGATGACAGCTGCAGTGACACAGTTGATGAAGATGTATTACAAGAATCTCAAACAGACATTTCCTTGAATCAGAGCAGTTACTCTGATGAACCAGATAATTCACTCTACATCACAGTGGACGAATTCAGTGAATCTGCCATTTCGGATCTGCCAAATATGGATGCCAGTGCCACAGGCAGTGAGGAAACTTTGTCTCTAAATAATAACACTGATGTCAAAAATCAAAATGCCGGCTCTGCTGGTGTTCCCTCTGAGAGACCTCAATCTACCAGCTCAAGTTTAGGTAAATACTTAATTAGATTTAAGATTTTGCTGTCTTGTTTGTTTATTATTCTTATTACTTTTTTTGGCTTATTTGATTTTGTTAAGCATTTTATTTTGTGTTATCTTATACATATAACTTTCACCAAAGTTTGACACTTTTTTTTTAAATTAGAATAGGAGCCATTACTGTAACCTTGAGATTTTTCTTGCTACATGAATATGTCTCAAAAAGATGTTTTGCTTCTTTATACATTTCATAATCAGTTACTTGGAAACAATTCCTATACACTTTGCAATGAATTAGGGAAAACCTCTCTTGAAAATAGGTGCTTGGAAACCATTATGCCATAATTAATAATGAATTTGGGAAAACCTATCTTATAAGTCAGTAACTTAAAAAAAAAGAAAAAAATTGCTCAGTTTTGTCCTTCAACATCATTAAGTGAAGAGCATATTGCGTTAGGTGAGATCAGTGCTGGAGGAGATGGATTGTGTTGTCAGCTGACAGTCCTTAGCCTAGAGGATTGTGACACCCTGCCACGCCCACCTCTGTTACAGATACCAAAGCCTGGAGATTACCTAGATGTTCACGTTAGCCTGGTTTTTAACCCGGGAAATTTTGTGGTAGGAGGTTAAAGTATTGAACTTTGCATTGTGTTTGTTGAGAATGTACCAAAATGCAGTAGTTGAGCCATATTGAAATGTAGTTGACTATTTTTGGCATGATATTGTTTGTAAAAAAAGACAAGAAAACCACTCCCCTACCACAACTCCTGTGTTTTCATTTTGAAATTTTATGGAAACTTTTTTGGCGACAGAGTTTGAATTTCATTTAATTTTAATTGGCATAAATGCAATATTAGTTTTACCCCTTTGATTAATTAATTGTCACTTCTATTCATGTCCAAAAGGAATTATCTTCTCCATTCTCACCCATTCTTGTCTATGTGATCTTTTTCAAAGGATATGATTCTGTTCTATTTATTCCAGTGTGTCCCATATGAAAGCATGGAGGAGACTCTAGAGTTGATGGCCCAAATGTCAGTGTTCTATACAAAGGTAGGGGATTGTTAAGTCTTTCATCTCCGTCAAGACTGAACAATACCAGTGGGTGACCAATATAAAGTAAATTCATGATAGATTTATCCTGTTTGTGAAGTGAAATCATGAAGGCCAAGGGAAGATAAATTTGCGAATTTTACAGATACTGTTTTTCTTTTTTTAAAAAGTCATAAACCCTTTCAATCAAAACATTTCCTATTGAGTGGTAGCAACAAAACTGTAAACCAGGATACCTTATAAATCTGTTCCATACAGAAAAAAAGGATGTACTTTTTTCAAGGTACCAAATGCAAAAGTGAGCATAGACAAGGTCACACCAGGGGACCTGTTAGCTGGGGTGCTGGAAGGGGTCTGGTACAGGGTGGAAGTGAGAGCACTGGTTGGAGAACAGGTGAGCTTGGGATTTTATTAACCCTTGAGAGCCTCATTCGGACTAAGAGAGAGAGAGAGAGAGAGAGAGAGAGAGAGAATGAAAATAGCCATTATTACATCATTTACAGAAGAAGTAGAATGTGTGCTTAGAACTGTGAGTTTAGTTAGGCGGCTAAGCTAAAAAATTGTGCAAAAGTTGATAAAAGCATGAAACTTTCCACGATGAATGACCATTGGGTGTTTGTCAATTTTGGATCGGGGGGCAACTCCAAAATTCACAAGTACCCGGATGAGCAGCTTTCTTAAAATATGCTGACTCAGCATTTTATGTACATCCAGAATTCACGTAAACGAGCACTACCGGCGTTAATTATGATAACATGAATAAATTTGAGAAACGTACACTAACTGTAAACATCTATCACAACAATGATGACGTCATGATGACGTCACTGGGAGATATTGCACAATACAAAATGACAAATATCCACTCACTCGCATATTCCAAATAGTCGAACCCTGCTATGATATTTCCTGTAAACGTTCATTACAGAAATGCATCCTTGAGGGCTAGATAGGTTGAGTTGGCTTGGTTTCTACTTCCGAGACTTTGAGCATTTTCAATATGGCCGTCAATTTTTAGAGAAAATAGAAAAACAACCAAGAGTTGACAGATATAATTTATTTGTGGTTATTTTGAACACAATTCCCGTCATAAGAACACAGTAGGATAAATGACTGCATACTAGCATGTTTCTGTTATTGAAAAATCAAAATGGCCGCCAACGCATACAGCAGAGGATGAAGTATAGCAGTATAGTCAGTCTATAACGTGCATAATTAGTCTAATTAAAACTTTTTATGCCTTCGATTTTTCTGTTCATTTAGATTTTTAATTAGCCATGATCCTTACCTATCATTATCAGCTTGTTTGACACTCAAAAATAAAAGGAATGAAATGAAAAAAAGAAAGAATAATTTTCAAAGGAGGGGGGTATAAATAAAAATATTTGAAAAATAGTATTAAAATATTTCAAAAATCAATTACCGACTTATTTTGGCAATTTCCTTTTGTTNATCATTATCAGCTTGTTTGACACTCAAAAATAAAAGGAATGAAATGAAAAAAAAAGAAAAAAGAAAGGAGGGGGGTATAAATAAAAAAAAATTTAAAATAGTATAAAAAATATTTTAAAAATCAATTACAGACTTATTTTGGCAATTTCGTTTTGGTGGGAGTCTGAACTGCTAGAGCACGTTTTAATGCAAAATAAACATTCAGTAGTCAGTTGTTACCATCTCAACCATGTGAATAAATTTTGCTCTTGCAGGGCTAGACATTAGCATATTCCACTAAGTTGCGAATGAACGCATCCTAACCACCGGGTCTCCCGCTGACGATCTTCCACTAATGAGGCCCTTGAACAGATATTCAAATTGCCTTCTCTTTTTGCTCGGATCAATAACTATCTCCCGCTGTCGATCTTCTGCTGACTAAGTCCCTTAAACAAATATGAAAATTACCTTCTCGTCTCGCTCGGATCGCTACCGATATTCCGCTGATGATATGAAAATTGCCGCTTCATCTCGTTTGGATCGCTAAAGTCTAAATGACATTTGCTACGGACGCCGTACAATGAACTCGTACACGTTTTCCGTGGGATTTTTATGACATCGTAAGTGGCTACGGGCAACGGCAATTACCTCTACAGTACAGGCTTGTGCCGTGTCTTGTCGCTAATATGAGCTTAAGCCTGGGTCCCAACTCCACGCATGATTTTTAGGACGTACGGTTTTTTTTAGGTTCCTCTCATCTGGCTGGGCCGTAGCTAGATCGTAGGGAAGAAATCAAGTAACTGGTGATTGTAATTAGTGCGCAAGAAGAAAGAGCGTGGACAGTACCTGAGAAGCTCAGCCTCCGCACGTCAGAAGTATCTCTGCGCCCGACGGGCTTTAGCACGTGTCCCGCATCGTGCACTACATTGTTGCACGTCCTTTGCACGGGAATCTTAGGTGTTGAGATGTTTTTGGGGAGGTATAAAAACAGGTGCATGTTTGAGAAGGTCATTATATCCGCAGCAGTGTTCAAAGATGGTAAGCCCAATCATACTTTGCTTGTCCCCGATCCCCCCTCTCCCCTCTTGTTCTTTGCTGTCTTTTTAGGCATTTTTAAAACTTGACATCAATATTTTGGCCGTAGACTAGACGTAGAAGCCCGTATGTTGGATTGGGACCCAGGCTTAAGGATATGTAGGGAAAATTCGCTTTGTCGGGTGAAAGTGATCATACCGAGTCCGTTCAGTCTCAGTGCGCCTTCCGTGTGGCTTTTCTTGGAGATAGACACGATGTCGGGACATATTCCTAGGATTTTTAGCACCCATGTGGTCAGAATAAAAAAGCACAACTTCAAATTTGTGAATTACAATAGTTTTAAACACCTTTGCTATTGCTATGCCCCCTTAACCCACCAAAGGTAGAAGGAAACGAAGCCATCGCCCGCTGACGATCTGCCGCTGACGAAGTCCTTTGCACAGATATGAACATTGTTTTCTCGTCTCCCTTGGATCGAAAACAACCTCCTGCTAAAGGTATGAAAATTGCCTTGGCGTCTGGGTCCGACCGCTGCCAATCTTCCGCGAACAAAATCCCTTGAACCAATATGAAAATTGCCTTCTCGTCTCGCTTGGATTGCAAACGATCTCCCTCTGAAGATTTGTAAATTGGCTTTGCATCTTGCTCCGATGGCGAATCACCTACCGCCGACGATCTCCCGCAAACGAAATCCGTACTTAATCGAATATGAAAATTACCTTCTCCTCTGTCAGCGCTGCCAGGTGCTGCTTGAAGGTCTGATATGTTTCAGCTTTCATAATTTAACGGCAAGCTTGCTAAAAAATCTAATAAAAGTTGGAAATGCCTAGCATTGGTCAGTAGCCTTATTTTTCAAACATTAAGGGGTTGCTTCTGACATATCAGAGATGACTGGCTGGTTAAGGGAAGAAGAAACTTGACGAACATATTTCCTTTCCTCTTTGTAACATCTAGTTAACCAATCTGTTTTATAATGTTGCCTGCATTGACCACAGGCGTATTATTTTACTGACATACAATGTTTATGCAGATTACATTCGTTTAAAATCTTTTTCAGCTGAAAAACATAATTTACCATCTTTTTACCTGCCTTTTCCGTGCCGTTTTGGTGGCTATTTTGCTATTTCTATTAAAATGACTTGCAGATTATGTGAAAGAAAACCCTAATAAACACCACTTCTGTATTTGTATAAACATGCAAATAGACTTTAAAATGAAGAATCTTCACGCACTGTATATAGTTTGATGTAAATTGCTATGAATACATATGTAATTTTGCGTAAAAATTGGCAGCCATTTTGGGTTACGAAAAGTGCCAATGTCCCAGAAGTTAGTAAAGCCAAGCTAAGTTGACTTTTCTGACCAAGAAAGGGGCATTTCTTTTTCAAACAATTACAGAAAACAACATAGTATTGTTCAACTATGGGACCAATTAGATTGGTAACCTGCTACTTGGAGGGCTTACGCCCTCACCACACATAAGTTGAATATTAAACAAGCAGATAATGGTTGTGTAGGAAAAAAGCTAACGAAAAATCACGATGAACGGAAAAATCAAAGAAGAAGATGCCGTTAATTAGACTGATGATACTAGAAATATGATGATTTTGCTGATTTACTTTACCCTTTGCCTCTACCCTATGTTTTGGCGGCCATTTTGTTTTTCTATCAGTAACAACGACGTGCTAGGATGTAGTCTTGTGCCCTACTGTGTTCTTCCGACATGAAACACATTCACAACAGCCACAAATAAAGTATATCCGTCGACTTCTGGTTGTTTTTCTGTTTTTCCTCAAAAATTGATGGCCATATTGAAAATGCTCAATGTCTCGGAAGTAGCAATCAAGCTAATTATACCTTTCTAACCCTAAAGGATGCACTTCTGTAATAAAAAATTATGGAAAAGAAACATTACAGAGTTCGACTATTGTTCCTGTAGTAGAAAGTGGATATTTGTCATCCTAAATTGTGCAATATCACCCAGTGACGTCATCGTGACGTCATCATTGCTCTCATAGATGTGCACAGTGAGCGTACGTTTTTAAAATCTATTTATGATATCATAATTAGTATTGTTAGTGCTCGTTTTGATGAAATCTGAATGTACATAAAACGCTGAGTCAGCATATTTAAGAAAGCGTCTCATCCGGGTACTTGTGAATTTTGGAGTTGCCCCCCGATCCAAAATTGACAAACACCTAAGGGTCATTCATCGTGGAAAGTTTCATGCTTTTATCAACTTTTGCACAATTCTGGATATAATTTGGACTTAACCGCCTGACTA